CCCCGCGATCCCCCTGCAATCCCCCCACAAGCCCCCCCGCCCCCCTGAAGGGGGTGCCCCATGTGCCCCACGATCCCCACGTCCTGCTGGGGGGGGGGGTTGCCCCACGTGCCCCTCAATCCCCCCTCGATCCTGCTGGGGGGGTGCCCCATGTCCCCCTTGATCCCACATGTCCTACTGAGGGGGATGCCGCACATCCTCCACGATTCCCATGTCCTGCTGGGGGACAGGGGGAGATGCCCACGTCCCCCTCAATCCCTCCAGTCCCACTGGGGGGGTGCCCAGGTCCCCTTCGACGCCCACGTCCCGCTGCGGGGGGTGATGCCCGCGCGCCCCAGCCCGCGTGGGCCGGGGCTGCAGCGCAGACGCCCCCACGAGCGTCACGGCGGCCGCTGCGACAGTCGCAGGGTGCCACCTGCCGGTGCCAGCTGCTCGGCCGCCACCGCTGCGGGGGGACACGGGCCCCGGGCCCCCGCGTGGGGACAGGGCCCCCGGCCCCCCCGCGGGGACCCCCGGCCCCCCCGCGGGGACCCCCGTCGCGGCGCGGCGCGGCGCGGCGCTCACGGCGGTGCCGGCGCGGATGGCGAGCAGGCCGGGCCCCGCGTGCGTGCAGCGCAGGCGGGCGCTGTAGCGGCGCTGCAGCGTGTGCAGGGCGCTGCACTCGTTGAGGCTGCCCAGGCTCGCCAGGTCCTCGGCCAGGTCCAGGCTGGGCGGGTTGGCCTGCGGGCAGAGCGGGGGACGCGCTGCAGGACCCCCCCGCTCCGGGGCGCTGCCCTGCTCCCCACGGATCCCCCCCGGCTCCTCATGTGCTCCCCTGCTCCCCACAGATCCCTCTGGACCCCCCGCTCCGGGGCACTGCCCGGCTCCCTATGGATCCTCCCCCCGGCTCCTCACATGCTCCCCTGCTCCCCACGATCCCTCTGGACCCCCCGGCGCTGCCCTGCTCCCCATGGAACCCCCTCCACTCCTGGGCCCCCCCCCACTCCTTTGGGGCTTCCCCCTGGAGCTCCCAATCCCCCCAGGACCCCTAAACCCCCCCCAATCCCTTAAGAGCTGCCAGAAGCCCCACAGACCTTGGGGGCTGCCCCATGGACGCCCATTGCCCCCCGGCTCCCCGGGCCTGCCACAAGCCCCCCAGACCCCCCTGCACCCCCCCCAGCTCCCCACTGCCCTCCCTGGGAGCCCGGGCCCCACGGAGGCCGCGGGCCGGCGGGGCGGGCGCTCACCCGCTGCACGTTGTCCTCGTCCACCTCGGCGACGCTGCCGTCCGCTTCGAGGCGCAGCCGCACGCGGCCCGGCGGCGGCTCCGGCGTCCCCACGTCCGGCTTCAGCTGCGTGGCTGCAAGGGGCGGCCGCGCTGAGCCCCGGGGGCGCGGGCCTGGCCCTTGCCAGCACACACGGCGTCCCCACGGGAGCCCCACGCTCCGGAGACGCCAAGGATGCCCCTTCCCGCGGGCACCGGGCCACAGGGGCAGGGTTGTTACCGAGCACGAATCCGTCCTGCTGGACCAGCCAGACCTTCTCGCCTTCGTACCACGCGTCCCTGGGCGCCTGCGGAGAGGGCAGAGCAGGGCCGGGCAGGACCCCACGCCGTGCAGAGATGCCTCCCATGCCCGCGTGCCCCTCTGAGGCCACGGGGCTGGGAAACGCTGCCCGAGGCTGGGGGGAAGCACCCCGGCACCCGCCCGCGGGAGCAGCGGGCACCTCTGCGGCACCCTTACCTGCTCGGGCTCCGTGCTCCCCACGGGCTCCTCTCCCTGTTCCGCAGGATCTTCCTTGACCTTCCCCACCTCCTTTGTCGGGGCTACCAGCTTCCCTTGGCTCCCTTCTTGCTCCTTCTTGGAGTCCTGCGCCTCCTTTTTGGCTTTCCCAGGATCTTTGATGTCCGCCAGATCCTTCTTGGCTTTCCCAGGGTCTTTGGCTTCCCCCAGCAACTTCTTGGCTTTCCCAGCATCTTTGATGTCTCCCAGCTCCTTCTTGGCTTTCCCAAGATCTTTGACATCCACTGTCTCCTTTTTGGTTTTCCCAGGATCTTTGATGCCCAACAGCTCCTTCTTGGCTTTCCCGGGATCTCTAACGTCCAACAGCTCCTTCTTGGCTTTCCCGGGATCTCTGACGTCCAACGGCTCCTTCTTGGCTTTCCCGGGATCTTTCATATCCACTGGCTCTTTCTTGGGTTTTCCAGGATCTTTAATGTCCAGCAGCTCCTTCTTAGCTTTCCCGGGATCTTTGATGTCTCCTGGTTCTTTCTTGGTTTTCCCAGGATCTTTGATGTCCCCCAGCTCTTTCTTGTTTTTCCCGGGATCTTTAACGTCTCCTGACTCTTTCTTGGATTTCCCAGGATCTTTGACGTCTCCCGACTCTTTCTTGTTTTTCCCGGGATCTTTGATGTCCCCCGGCTCTTTCTTGGCTTTCCCGGGATCTTTGATGTCCAGCAGCTCCTTCTTGGCTGCCTCCTCTTTCTTCATTTTCTCCGGTTCCTTCCTGGCCGGCGCCCACTCGCTCTTGCCCTTGCCTGGGGGCTCCTCGCGGCACCTGGTGGCCACGGCCTCCTTCTCGTCGCTCCCTTTGCTCTCCAGCCCCTCTCTGTGGCCCGCTGGGCCGCGGCGGCA